GCAATTATATTTTCTTTTTCTTTTTCTTTTTTGAGATGGAGTTTCACTCTTGTTGCCCACACTGAAGTGCAATGGCGTGACTCAGCTCACTGAAACCTCCACCTCCCGGGTTCAAGTGATTCTCCTGCCTCAGACTCCTGAGTAGCTGGGATTACAGGCACGCACCACCACACCCAGGTAATTTTGTATTTTTAGTAGAGATGGTTTTTCTCCTTGTTGGTCAGACTGGTCTTGAACTCCCGACCTCAGATGATCCACCCACCTTGGCCTCACAAAGTGCTGGGATTACAGGTGTGAGCTACCATGCCTGGCCACAATGTTTCTTTATCAGACACACCTGTTGCCAGTCAGTCACTGTCTGAGGTTGGTAAATTTGTTAAACAGCATCCCAAACAAATTCTCCCAGACATGGTGGAGAAGTTAGAGATACAACATGAGCATCCAAGAATGAAAACAGAAGTAGCTGACGGAAGTTCCCAAAAGCCCAGGTGGATGGGAAATGTATTCACCTATAATGGTAGTTTTCCTTCGATATAATCAAGTTTCTTCAAGAAAAAGATTACGTGCTAAGCACCACATTTTTCAAGAAGTTAGAGCTGGGCTGGTGCTCATGCCTGTAATCCCAGCAGTTTAGGAGGCTGAGGCAGGTGGATCACCTGAGGTCAGGAGTTCAAGACCAGCCTGGCCAACATGGTGAAACCCCGACTCTACTAAAAATCCAAAAACTAGCCAGGCATGATGGTGGGCGCCTATAATCGCAGCTACTTGGGAGGCTGAGGCAGGAGAATTGCCTCAACCTGGGAGGTGAAATTTGCAGTGAGTGGAGATCACGCCACTGCATTCCAGCCTGGGCGACAGAATGAGACTCTTGTCTCAAAAAAAAAAAAAAAAAAGTTAAAAAATCATTTAGGTTTTCATGTAGCTGGTGGAAGTAGGTGATACTGACAATTGCTTTACAGTAATTGTTGGTCTTGAGTTGATTGGAATGCAGTGATAACTGTCCAGTGCATTAGATACAACCCCTGCCTCATGCCCAACCCACAGATGCTCATTTCCGTGGATTCAAATCTTTTCTTTACGGTTGTCAGAATTTAGCTTTTTTTTTCTGAGAGAGTCTTACTCTGTCACCCAGATTGGAGTGCAGTGGTGCGATATTGGCTCACACCAACCTCTCCCTCCCAAACTCAAGCAATCCTCCCACCTCAGCCTCCTGAGTAGATGGAAACACAGGTGCATGTCACTGTGCCCAGCTAATTTTTTTTGTATTTTTGGTAGAGACAGGGTTTCACCATGTTGCCCAGGCTGGTCTCAACTCCTGAGCTCAAGTCATCTCCCACATCGGCCTCCCAAGTGCTGGGATTATAGGCATGAGCCGCGATGCCCGGCCTTAGCCTTTTAAAAAAAATTAAGTATTTGTTGAGCTCCTGTGACATGCCAATAAGTAGAATAAGCCCCTGGTGGGCAGGGTACATGTCTGTATTTCCACGTGTACCTAGTATAGTGTCTGGCACATAAAGTGCCCTCAAGATTTTTGCTGAGCAAATGAAGAAATATTAAACAAGGACCATGCCCTTAACTATCAACATCTATGGAATCTGTTTACAGTTTCTATTTTGTATGCTTTCATTCATTGTTAGTAGATACTTGAGTTTCTTTCTAAATTATCTTGGAGAAACTAGCATTTTAGAAACATTTGGCATTCAAGAAATGCTTAACACACACAAGTTTATGGGCCACTTAATTTAGTACTAACAAATATATGAAGTGAGCACTGGTATCCCATTTTATAGATGAGGAAATGGAAACTCAGAGAGGATGAGGAACTTTCCCACGGCACGTACTAATAAGTGGAGGTGTGGAAGTTAACATCCAGGTCCGTCTGGCTCGACAGCCTTTGCTCCATGCTCATTGATTGTGTCTTACAGCTAAGGATAAACATGATCTGTGATTCATGTGCATCAAGGAGGGCTTACACATGAATTGCAGGGCCCTCAAGTCCTTATGAGAATTTGCCAATTCAGGGTTTTCATTTTAATGAATTTTAGAAGGATGAATTAAAGTATAGTTTACTTTATCTAAACAACTACCTGCAACTCACTATGTTAGTTAAAAAATGGCCGGGTATGGTGGCTCATCCCTGTGATTCCAGCCCTCTGGCAGTCAGAGGTGTGTGGATTACCTGAGGTCAGGAATTCGAGACCAGCCTGGCCAACATGGCAAACATCTCTACTAAAAATACAAAAATTAGCCAGGCGTGGTGGCAGGAGCCTCTAATCCCAGCTACTTGGGAGGCTGAGGCAGGAGAATCGCTTGAATCCAGGGGGAGGAGTGAGCCAAGATAGCACCACTTTACTCCAGCCTGGGTGAATGAGTGAAACTCCATCTCAAAAAAAAAAAAAAAAAATTACAACACTTAGGGTACAGTGGTGACCACTGGAAGCATTAAAGCTGCAATGGTTAAAGGGGTTATTTCTGGTAAAAAAAAGTACTAGCTAAGGGGAGCTAGGTGGAGTTGGATGGAGAAAAGGGAGAGGATTTTTTTTTTTTTTCTCTGAGGTAGGGTCTTGCCCCATTCCCCAGGCTGGAGTTCAGTGGTGCAATCAGAGATCACTGCAACATTGAGCTCCTGGGCTCAAACAATCCTCCTGCCTCAGCTTTCAAAATAGTCACCACACTCAGCTAATTTTTGCATTTTTTGTAGAGATGGGGTTTTACCACGTTGCCCAGGCTAGTCTCAAACTCCTAGATTCAAGCAATCCACCCATCTAGCCCTCTCTAAATGCTGGAATTACAGGCGTGAGCCACTGCAGCCAGGCTAAAGTCTGTGTGACATTTGAATAAGAAAGCAGGCTCAAGGCTGGGCCAGATGGCTCAAGGCTGGGCCAGATGGCTCACGCCTATAATCCCAGAACTTTGGGAGGCCTAGGTGGGCGGATAACTTGAGGTCAGGAGAAACCTTGACTCTACCAAACACACACACACACACACACACACACACACACACACACACACACGCGCGCACACACTAGCTGGGCTTGGTGGTATACTTCTGTAGTCCCAGCTACTCAGAAAGCTGAGGCAGGAGAATCGCTTGAACCTGGGAGGTGAAGAGGTTGCCGTCACCTGAGAGCCACACCACTGCACTCCA